TATATAGTGCTTGATTTTTTATACCAATATGATGTGGAACAAATACTTCAACATGTCGATAAACACAAACCGAGTTAGACAACATTAATGTTATAAATGGGCCAAACAAACCCCTAATGAGCTACCCTTAGTCATGAGTGTTGAACAACAACTGAACATAGTTCTGATACTATATGAAGAGTTGGGATTCTATGTAAAATGTCAACATGATAGGAGGAATATAATAATCCAAGATTTTATATAGTGTTTGATTTGTTTATATCAATCCAGTGTGGGAGACCTGCTTCAGCACGCCCCTCAACCCAAATCGGGCTAGACAACTCCACGATTATAAATGGGTCAAACAAACTCTTAACCATCTACCCTTAACAGTGGGTGCTAAACAACAATCAAATCCCAATTGAATCTAACTCTAATGTCATATTAAGGGTTGTGTTCCGTCCTAAAAGGTCAACCTGATAGGAAGTGTAACTCAAGATCTTATATAGTGTTTGATTTCTATATACCGATCTCGTGTAGGGCAAATACTTCAACATTGCATCGATAGTTTCTAGCGAATTCACTTTCCATCTTGCGACGTTTTTCTACAATACTATTCTATCACATGGAGGTTGGAGGTGCCTGATAATACTAGCGATTATCAATGGCATAAACAATGATGACAATTGCAGTTGGGATATGGTGTGGTAGAGATAATTAGAATTTTGATTACTCTTCATCTACGAAAAACAAAAAATTATCCTATTTTTATTTAACTAAAAAGTTATCCTATTTTTATTTTCATATTTAGTCGTATAGACAAGAGATGGCATTCAAGTGAGTTGTTAAAAAAACATACACAGTAAATCTTTTACAAAAACAATTCTAAACATAAAATGAAAGGCCTTTTTTGTGAAGTTGAAGCGAACCCGAGCTACACATTAAACTTTTGTATTCTAGTCGTCCCGCTATGATTGTTACATTTTTCATTTTGAGTTGTCCCACAAATATTGTTCAATTCCACTTCTAATTCTTGCCTACAATGGTCTCTTGCGTCATCTTTTGCTCCACCCACTACTTCTTGAAATCACCTTTTTTCTCGTCCCACATCACATCTCACCCTTTTCGTCTAGTGGGTTGTTCAGTTGCTATGAACCCAATACTTAATCCTCATCCAATAACTCAGCATCCTCCATCAGCAACCATGATCACACCTTTTCTTTGCTGAACAACCTCCACTAGCCAGCCTTCCCCGTGAGTCCTACATCTCTAGTTCTCTACCCTTATCCAATTCTCGGCCCACCTCCTTTGTTCTCATACCATCACATCTTCACTTTATATCATCTCATGAAAACTAGGGTTAAACTTGGAATTTTAAAACCCAAACCTATTTAATTTAAATATAGTTGCTACATCATGTGATCTTCTTTTACTATCGCGAATGAAGATCTTAAATGGAGGGCAGCTATGGCCATAAATATTTAATGCACACCTTGTTAATCATACATGCGATATAGTATCATTTGACTCTTCTAAAAATGTGTTGAGTCCAAATGGATTTATAAAACAAAAGGTCATTCAGATGGTTCTGTTGAACGTTATAAAACTCGACTGGTTTTACGGGGTTTCAAGCAGCAAACGGGTGTCGATTTTACTAAGACATTTATTCCGGTGATTAAGCCTATTGCATTTCTTACCATTTTTACACTTGCAGTCTCTTTTGGTTGGTTCATTAGATAGTTAGATGTTTAAAATTCTTTTTTTACGGTCATCTTTTTGAAGAGGTATACATGTGTCAGTCACATGGTTTTATTCATCCTCAATTTCCCACTCACTTGTGTCACCTTCGTAAAGCTATCTATGGTCTCGAATCAGGTCAAGAGCTTGGTTTTATTGTTTCAGTAGCTTTCTCCCTGTGTCACGGCTTTGTATGTAGTAGGTCCGATATTTCTTTATTCATTTTATGTGATGATTTTAGTGTTCTTTATCTTTTACTAGATGTTGTTGATATCATTATTACTGTAAATTCTCTTACTTTCATACACACATTTATTACTTTACTAGCCAAAAATTTTGCTATAGAATATTTGGGAAGCTTCATTTTTTGCTTGGTGTTCAGGCCAATATAACTCCTCAGGAACTCTTTCTTACTCAATAAAAGTATGTGTCAGATCTCTTAATTCGTTTTCATTTTCATACCCTTAAACACGACTACACTCCACTTCCTCACAAATCAAATTTTCTCTTCTAAATAGTGAGCTTCTTTCACATGCCACGAATTATCAGAGTGTGGTAGGTGCTCTACAATATTTGGTTAGGACTAACCTGATATTATATTTGTTGTTCATTTGTTTTCCCAAATTATGCATGCTCCTCGTATTTCACATTGTTAGGCGGTCAAACGTATTTTCATGTATCTGCAGGGTTCTTCTATACATGACCAATGAGTCAAATCATCTAGTTCGTGTCATGCTATTACTACTGATTCTGATGATGATTGGGCTGATTGTCCTGATAGCAGTCATTCTACCTTTCATTTCACTATTTATCTTAGTCCCCTTTGGTGTACGTCTCAGCGGTCTAAGAAACAACCTACTCTTTCCACATCATGTACAGAAGGTAAATATAAAGTCAGTGCTTATATAATTCAAGATGCATTGCATATTCGCTCCATTTTGTCTCAACTGGGTATCTCTATTATATTCACAATCCTATTCAATTACTATGTGATAATGTTTATGTTTCCTATTTGTCTACAAATTTTATTAAGCATGTTCACGGTAAACATATCAACATTAACTATTATTTTGTTCGAGAGAAGGTTGTCCATAAAGATCTTGTCATTTTTTATGTTCCTATACAGTTCAGTTAGCTGATATTGTTGCAAAGAGAATGTCTCCACATCAATTTCATTTTCTTCATGACAATCTGCACTAGTTCCTCCCGAACAAATTGATGAGTGTAATAATATAGATTTATACCTTGTATAGGTTTCTTATATTTAGTACATAACCTATTATATTTTGGACTCTTTATTTATTTATTTATTCATTCATTTATTTATTTATTTATTCACTAGTGCAAAAAACACATTCCCTAACTAGCTTTTAATATAGGTTCATTTGGAACTGTTATAAAATGCAGGTGCGGGGTCATATTTATAAATAATGAAAGTTTTGAGTAAGTTTTGTGGGTAAGTATTATAAATTTAAAGTGTTATCGATAACGGTTTCAAAATTAACCGACATAGTTAATAGAAATGGGGTCATTTGTATAATTTTCACAAACTAAAGTTTGAAATGGGGTCTCTTTTATAATTTTTAAAAATCCTTTTCTATGTCAGCTCATTTTGAACCCTCATGAAAAGATCAATCGTAAGATAAAAGTTTAAAACTTTAAACCAACAGCGATAACATCCAACTGTAGGGCAAAGCGACTAAGAAGCACCGCCGCAGCCGCTCTCAATTAAGAGACGAGGACGAAGCATCGCCGCTGCTTCTTCTCTCAATCAAGAGATGAAGACGAAGCACCTCTGCCGCTGCTCTCAATAATTAAGAGATGAAGAAGAAGCATCGCCGCTGCTGCTCTCATTTAAGAGACTAAGACGAAGCACCGCCGCCGCTGCTCTCAATTAAGAGACGAAGAAGAAGCATCGCCGCTGCTGCTCTCATTTAAGAGACGAAGACCAAGCACCACCGCTGCTGCTCTCAATTTAGAGACGAAGACGAAGCACCCTTGCTCTTCTATAGCACTCGATGACCCACCCTTTTAGGAGACTTCTACTGCTCTGCATTAACCGGCGAAGAGACTATAATCAGCTCTCTTCCACCATAGGCAATTTTTCATTTTGTTCTATTTACATCATACACGAATACTTTTATCACTTGTGCTTCAATTGTTGTATGATTTATCGATCTTGAGGTTGATTATTTCATTCAAATTCCAGATCAAAGATGATAACTTTTGCTTAATTATGTTTTAGTTTGCACATGTCTATAATATGTTTGTGGAAATTTCTAAGTGAGATTTTGAATGGATGTTTCTTAGCAATATCATTGACTAAGAGTTTTGCTAATTAAATTGTTATCTAAGAGTATTGACTAATTAAATCATTATCTAAGAGTTTTGCCCCCAAAAAATTATCGGCTGGTCACAAAATATCTTCTTTTTGGCCAAGTTCGAAACACTAGCAGCAACTGGGCCATTTTTATTCTTTTTTCTCCTGGATTCAAGTATGAAATATCCTCCCGTTTCACATGAAAATAGTCTATGAGCAGTACAATTCCAGAATTTTGTACCCCTATTCATAAGGCATACAATTCAAGAACATTGAACATTTGAACTTCATTTTGCTTGGTAAATACTTCTTAAAGGCATACTCTTTCTTCTAATGTATTGACTTGTTTTTTGTGTTGCTCTTTTTTATTTTTGGTTCTATGTTCACGTATGAAACTGTTTTATAATTATTTCTTGAAGTCAATCTTGTGTGAAATTGAGGAAACTCCTAAAATGCTTGAAACTGTTTTATAATTATTTTTGGCATACGTATTCACTTATTTATTTATTTATTTATTTATTTACTTATTCACTTATTTATTTATTTATTTATTTATTTATTATATGGCCTAGAGGGCTACCAGTCTGGTGAGCAAACTACGTGTGGGATCTTCATGAGTTTTAATACTCCGTATACAATAATCCGCATCCTTGGCGAGGACCATCATTAATCAAACGTAATCGATGTCCAATTGTCCATTAGCGGCCACAGATGACTGAGGAACAGCAGTAGCCAAAGGCACAAAAGGAAGAAGATATACTGAAATGTTTTATGATATAAATGTAATCTTTGTCCATATCTTTATATACAAAAACCATGATCAGGCTATTGCCACTTCTTGAGTTCGTGATATTCATATTCTAGTCATTTTGATGAATATAATACACATGAGTTAATCACATAATTTCCAAAAATTAGATATGATTGTATATATTTTGATCAGATGTCACTTATTTACATTTTTTAATATCATTTATTTATTTACACTTGAAAAATGAATAACAACACAATCACCTCATATATTAGATCAATCAATCAATAATGCTATGAGAGTACCAAACTTTAACATATCCATGAAAATGGACAAGAATACTGAATAATAAAAGAAATGACACCAAAATTGGTTACTATCTAGAAGCCCAATGTCACTAATTACTTCCTTTCCTATTTTAGTACTCTTTTGAGCAAGAATCTGCTGGCCTTGCTAGACACAAAAATCCATGGAATAATCCCAACCTGCAGTTGAGAATGTTGATTAAATGACATTTAAAGAACATAGAAACTTTTTTACAACTCATAAAAAGTGTCCAAAAATAAAATTGTTTTAATCTTGGAGCTCCAATATAAAGCATATAATACGTGAAGACATATAATCTTCTTAGAATATAAATTTTGACCACATAAGTACCATGGTATAGTTGTTTGTTGGGCCTCCAGCTAGCCAAGATAAAACTTTACCTGCCATAACAAGCATGTCAAAAAGGTATGACCATTCAAAGGGTGACAAACCCACACACATATACATATATATAAAATCGATTAGCCAATATAACCAAGATCTCATAAATTCATCTCGCTTTACAATGAAGTTATGAAGCTTCGAGTTAATAAATAGTACTGCCTCCCTCCCTTAAAACTTTATCAAAGTTGACCGGCACGGAGAATAATAAAGTAAAAACTGTGTGGTTAAAATTTGTGCATAGGAGAGAGAAATAACAGAAACCACAAAATAAATGGTTAAAAGAGAAAGTGACAAAGTTTTTTGGGACGTCTTAAAAAGAAAAGATGACAAAGTTTTAAAGGACGGAGGAAGTATAGTATATAAGGCGAGGAAAATAATACTCTTCTCCGTCCATCCAAACGAAAACAAAATAAGTCTTGTTTAAAGAATATATTTCATAATTACATCTGGGAAGTATAAAAGAACTCAATCAAAAATCACAAAACAGTTGAGGAGTAAACATCACTACCAAAAGGTTGTATAAGCTCATTGGATATAGAGCCCACAGGAACATGCCAAAACCATAGAACTAGTACAAGGTATGTGATGGCCTGCACGCTTATAAATCAGTTAGTACTATTTCTGTACATAATTTGAAACATATGCGACTATGCCAAGGATCAAATTACACATCCATTCATTAACCAATAGTACCTTCAACATTAATAGGCCTTTTTCATACATATGAAATGAAAAACTTAACTCCTTACTGTGCATTTCTATGCCTGCACAATTATGCCGAGAGCATTAGCTATAATAAGTGGTCAATATAATATTGAGACTATTAGCAATATAGTAAGTTGTTTGCATTTCATTACTCCTCACAAAGCCGCAGCTGTAAAAAGTGTCCTATTCGCGTGATATTTTTTTACAATATTAGTAGTTCTACGATGACAAAAGGGGCAACCTAGTACACATTGACGTTCCCGCAAGGCAAGGGGCCCTGGAAGGGTTTCACCACAAGGGTGTATAGGTGGCAAGCCTTCTCTTGTCATCTTGACAAGAGGATACTCCCCAGACTTGAACATGTGACCTCTCAGTCAAATAGACACCTTAATCGGTTAATCAAGGCTTCCCTTCAGTTTACAAAAATATAGATTTAATGTTATCATTTCATTTTTCCTTCTTTAAGACCTTTATGCAATCCCATGAAAATTAAAATATATATTACTGCAATATTTTAACGTTTTTCTCAGTTTAATAACTCTTTCAATTGTGAAATTCTTCCAAATTGACATCCATTGTGAAGAAAAACGATTATAAAAAAGTAGTGGCATCATCATTTCTGAAATATCAAGAAAATCACCAAAGAATGTGTATGCCAAATAGAGCAGTGGTACTTAGGGCTCCTTTAGTAAGGGATACTAGGTTGAAATAGTCGAAATTTCTTAAAGGGGGGATTTGACTTTGTACTCCATTTTTTGGGTGATATTTGTTTTGCACCATATTTTCAAAATCATTAATGTCTACACCCTATCATTGTAAAACTATTTGACTTTGCACCCCATTCCTTCACAAATGTTGGGTTGATGGGGTGCACACATTAATGATTTTGAAAATGAGGTTCAAAGTCCTATATCACCCAAAACATGAGGTGCAAAGTCAAATTTACCATTGGTAAAATATATTTCCACCAAAAAAGTAACTGAAAAGCTACTTATCCTAATTGGTATGCTTCTAACCTGAATAAGTTAGATTAGGCTAACAAACGAGCCTTAGCGCAAATAGGTGTCAAAGAAAGTCTTGAGTGTAGAATGAGTATATACTTTTTGCAAGCTCTTTCTCTTTGGTAGCTGCCATTCTTCTCATCTTTGCGGCCTGTGCAAATGTAGAAGGCCTGGAATAAAGAGGAAAACATATTTGATTGTTATATACCATACATGAGATGCAACCGCTTATGATAATAATCAGATATATTGCAGAATTCTTCTCTCAAAGTGATTTCATTCTCTATCCATAAAGATTATGGATCCTACTAGCTAACATGCACCCTTTGATCTAAAAATATACACATGGTCACATGGATTTGTAGAACCTATAATTACTATAGGTATAACACTCAACGTCGGGAGAAGTCCAACTCCCTCCAAGATTTAGACTCATTAAAACAAATTGATGAGATTAATTATTAGACTTTGATTCCATAAGTCTTATTCTAACATATGGTGGTTTGGATGGAGCCACAGAGGGTCTTAATATGAAATGAGACAAGATATATTTTATTTACATGGAGAACTCCAAATTATTTTTAGAAATTCTCCAAATTTGGATGGCATATGTTCTCCAAGGTGAAACCTAAGTTTTGCCAAAAACTAGGTTCTTGGAAGAATATAGAATCAACCCAAACCAGAGGACACATGAAAAGTCAGGGAGTAGCACAAGGCATCATATATATATATTATATATATATATAGGTTTACATTTTCGTACATTGGTTGTTAATGTAATGAGAATCATAGACAAAAAATAGTCCAAAGATTTCTCACTGTGATAAAGCAGCGGCCTCCTTTAGGAGCCCCTTGATTTCCGCCTTTAGCCGTACATCGTCTGCAGACATGGTTGCTCTCTGGAAAAAAACTCTCACATGAACGGAAAACCAATAAAACATAATCTGTTTTCATTCATTCTTCACATCTCAATCAACTTTACGGAAATCCGTCTAGTTTGAGAAAATTCATAACTTCATACGGCCACCCCGACAAGGAAACAAAAATTACGTGAATATGTGTAAGATATATTCCAAAAAAAATATGCATAAGATCATTTAAAGGGAAATGAAATGAAAAACCTTCTTATTAACCTCCAGATAACGAGTGAGAAATTCAAAAATTGAAACCATGAAGAATATCAATGGAGCACCCATTGATATGTCATGTTTTCCCATACATTCTTCCATATTTTCTAAAACTGTTGGAATTTAATTTTTGTTGTAGAAGATTATATTTGAGTAAATATAATAGAAAATGTTTATGGTGCATCCCACACTTGGCACCATCTCATTAGTAATTTGATTCAGCTCACCTATTTACTAAAAAAACGTTTAGTATTGCAAACAAGTTCTTCCCAACCAATTCTGTCATTTTTCTCTTACAAAAGCAAAGAAGTCGAGTCGATTCCTTCATGTCTTCCACCGTCTACGGAAGAGAAGAAGCCAGGGCGAGTGAATCGAAAGGTCGACATCGCAATCCTCAAGGTTGGGGACTTGAAACCAATTTGGAAATGACCTAATAAGCGGTGAAAGGGAAAACATGAATCTAAACGAGAGTGTAGTGTAGTGTGTGCAAGTGTGAATGAAAGAATATCAAATGTTTAATAATGATATTATTATATACTACGCAATAATGATACATTACGTTACTTTGAATTAATATTATTATTAATAATAATAATATTAAGGGAATGATATTATTGATAAGGTATCACTTTGTTTGCTTGCTGCTTTCCTCCTCTTGGGTTAATACAATATTGTTATGCTTCTTCACGTCAATTTTATGATATGGGTTTAATATTAAATATATACCTTTTATGTCACATTACACGTCACTTTTATGTGTCCTAATTTAGTTGACACAATTATTACTCCCTAATAAAGTAGTTGAAAACGGAATAATTATGTAAATCGATTCTTTGTTGTAAAATTTTAAGAATTTCAAGAATTTTAACGTTATAAACATTGTCATAAGAATAATTAATAACTGTTTTTATATGTTAGTTCATGTTTACATATTTGAATTACGGAACACTATAACAGTTTCTCTTTTGCCATTAAATAGTTATCTCAAATACATGATGGTCGTGAAATTGTAATGCTGAAACTGACCCTAACACCTGAGAATACCGTTGATGTTTTAGAAGAGACAATTTCCAATCATGATCTCTTATATCATCTATGACTATAAATAATAGACAAGGTTAAACATAAGATTTGCCACTTTCACTCTAACTAACTATAGTCTTTATTATATATTACCTTTTTTATATTTTTTATATTTACACATTGTCTTTTATTTTTGTCATAGTTTTACTTCTATTTAGGGTAATTTCTGATAAAATTAGAGTCAGTTGATTATTACAATGTGACTCACATATATATATATATATATATATATATATATATATATATATATATATATATATATATATATATATATATATATATATATATATATATATATATATATATATATGATAGACTATAAGTCTAGAGAGAAGTGAGAGCTAGAGAGAGAAGTAGTATATTTGCTTTGTATTAATGAATTGTGAACCCTTACAACTACTCCCAGAGGGAGTATTTATAGGAAAAATTAGGGTTGGGCTCCCAAGTCTTTGGCTTGGGAGGCCCATTTACAATAGGGTCACTAATGGGTCGGATACAAAGTACATAGAAAAGATTAAGTATGAAGTCATGTTCTGGAGGCCATATGTGGCTGATGAGGGCCCGGCCGACGAGATCACCGGCTCTTCCTGGCTTCTGGATCATGTTCTGAGTAGACTTCTTTTCGGCCGATGAGGGTCACCTGGCCGACGAGGGTCCCGACAGGCGGTCGTGGTACCTTCTGTTCTTCCGAGTATGTGGGCCCTAGGGTCCAGGCCCATATACTCCATCAGGAGTCCCCCACTCTCTGAGCTGAGAAGTAGACGAAGTGAGGGAGAGTAGATTTCCCTGTTTCTGACGTTTTTCTGGCCGTTGTGGGACCGCTATGGGGATTTTCCTGCCTTGGGCGTTACGGGATTTGCTATGGGCTTCGTGCTTTGCGCCGTTACGGGCACCGTCATTGGCTGTTGTGGCCCTTGGTGTGTACGGAGAGTGTCACTTGGTTTGGGGACGATGAGTGTCCCTTTGCGTGAGTGGCCGGTGAAGGTGATGTTTCTCTACTCCTAGCCATTGATGATTGGACATCGCACCCATGGCCGAGGAGACTATTGTGGTCATTTCCCGTTCGAGGACGATGAGTACCCTTCTTCCTCCGGGTAACCGATGAAGGTGTTGTTTGCTTTATTTGGCCGATGTGGCTCTCATTCTGTGTTTCTGGCTGAAGAGTGATGGTCGCAGCTTGGTGTCCATATTTTTTAGGACAATGAGTTCTCGTCTTAATTTTTTGGCCGAGAGTGGAGTATGCGGGCTCAGAGCCGTTGAGTGCGCTATGATCTCAGGTGTTGCACCTTTGGAGGGAATTCTTTCTGCTTACTTTGCTGCGGCCGGTTATGGACGTTTGTGGTGCATATCTGATGTTGTAGTTGTGGACTTAGTATATTTTTGGATTTGTTTGACTTTGTCCTGTTTTTCAAAGGCCGGTGTAGTCCCCCAGTCCCCCACTGCTTCAGGCCGAAGAGTAGGTGAGGGGTGAAGGAGTAAAGGATTTGCCTAGGCCGAAGCGGACTCTTGTGTTCCCCTGAATCTAATTCCTTGGCGATTTCCTGACCAAGGTAACCCTGTGGGAGAACCCTTGGACGCAGGTCGCTTTCAAGAAATTATCTTCAGGGTTTTACACAAGGCCGATGGCGTGGGGATTCTTTTTGCTTTTGCCGTTGTGGCCGTTGAAAGGGCCATGCAGTTCGCATTCCCCCAAGCCGATATGGGCATATCTTGAGATGTGACCTATCCTTTTGGAGCTATCTGTGTTGAGGCCGATGTAGGCGCGCTTTCTTAACGTGGCCGTTGAGTGGTTGGCCGTTGCGGGCGTTGCTTGTTGGTATGTTGGCGATGGGCTGATACTGCGGAAGTGGGCCTGGCCCGTCTTCTGACCCGGTGCCAGCCCAATTGGCCTTGAGAGTGGTGGCCGTTCATGTGGCCACTGGGAGGTTGCCACGTGTAATGACCGTTGGGGGGGAGGTCTATAAATACCCCCCTCCCTCCGAAGAGGTTACTCATTGCATTCCCGAGATAACGAAGTGCTGTCAAATTTTCTAGAGAGAGAGCCTTTCCGTGTGTTCCTCCGACCTTCAAAACTTCAAAGGTCGGTTCGTTGAACTTTTCTCCAATTCCCTGTATACTTTGCTTCTTTTAGCCTTTGATCCGTTGTTAGTGAAGATTACTTTTTTCTGTTTTTCTGTGTGTGTGTGAAGATTACTTTTTTTCTGTTTTTCTATTATAAATAAGCGAAGCATTAAAAATATTACTTCATTACTTATTTTATAGAACATTTTTTTTTGTATTTTATTCCATCAAATAGCAGAATCCTGGGTAGCAAACTATACTAGTGACCTACCCCATTTTATTGTGTGTATATATATATATATATATATATATATATATATATATAGGTTTTGGTTCAAATAAGAATATGATCTTAGGAGAGAAATGAGAATGAATCTGGACCGTTAGATTTGCTCTAAGTGAAATTAATTGTGCATTAGATGAAACTGTAATGTGCATTAGGTGAAATTGAAATGTGCAGGACAAATGGTACGATATAGTGACATTATGTGAAGCTAAAGTGTGCATTAGGTGAAACTGAAATGTGCACTAGGTGAAACTGAAATGTACTGAAATAAAAGGTTGTTCGCACATGTTGAGCTTCTTAGAGCTTGTTCGCACATGTTGATAACATCAACCACAATTGATGCCAGCAGCTTAGTTTTCTCCTCAAATTTGATCACAAATTCCTGTAAATATTGGCCAATTTCAAGTATCTGTCATGTGCACACATTTGGCTAAACATATGCTAAATATTTAATTTCTGACCCATGCATTTTTTGAACAAAAGATTAATTTCACAACTTAAAATGAGCTATATTTAAGTCATACCTCTCCAATTCCACTATCACTACATTGCTCAAACGTTGTTTGTTCGATTGCACCTTCTCCATCTTTCTGTTTTTCTGAATTCAAATCACTCATTTGAGAACTTCCCTCAATGGTCATTGGCCCATAACAGTACCCCATCCCAAACCCTCCACTCTCTATTTCTAATAATTCTCTATCTCTCAGTTGTTTTCCGTTCCATCCTCTCAGAACTGGCAAAGTCCTCCCAACTTTGTGTTTGTATAAAACAACACGGTCGACATAAAGGAGCTGCACAATAAATGAATGTTAATATAATGTACAAATTATCATAAATGAATGTTAAAACTCTATAAAACTTTTTAATTTTTTTGAACTTACTATTAGAAACAGCAATGGACCGGTAAAAGTCTTTTCTTTCTTCTTCTCCCATGAAACTTTGTTCTCAATTAAACAATTAAGAACATGATCACACCAATTTAGTTCATTAATATTGTCAACGTCTTCCAATTGAGTCATTATTATTGGGTTCACGTAGCCATTCTGGCTCCTATCAAGTAGAACTGACACAACCAGAACAATGAAATGCCTCTTAAACCAATCACCACCATGAGTTTTGCTAAGCATGGCCGCACTAACATCCGATGGGCTAATCTTGGTTTCCTCTTTGTCAAATATTGCTCTCCATTCATTCAACAATGCACAATCTTCATTTTTCTTCTTCTGTACAATCGTTTTCCCTCCCAATGGAAAACCCAACACTCTTGCTGCATCCTCCTCTGTTATATGCACAGTATTACCCCTGGGAAGCACTAATGAGCACATTATTGGGTCAAAGCTGTCTACAACCCAAAATCCTAACTTGCTTGGAATTTCAGCAACATCCAGATCAAAAGGTGCACCAAAGTCTATTTTTCTCACATCTGCTTTCTGCGCCTCGTTCATTGCACTCATAGCTTTCACTAACAAATGAGGTGATGATCTGGTCCGTATACTCCTGTAGCCAGATTTTATCTCTTTTATACTTTTTTTCTTTGAAAGCACCTCAGTAACAACACCAACAACCTTTTGTTGAATATCAAAATCATCATCACTATCTTCTTCTCTTGCTCGTTTCTTCAGTCTCTTGACTCTATTCTCTTCGGAATCATTTCCAGTTGAGACCATTATTCTCTTTCCCTTGTCTTTCCCACTACTCTGCAACCTTGTTTCTCTTCTTTCTACAATATGAAAAACAATGCACATTTATAATCCAATTTTGCAATTTAGGACGTTACGATTGCACATTATTGTATTGGAATTACACTTTGCACATTACACCATTCACTATATTTCCACACTTCTTAAAGTAAGTTATGCCTTAATATAAATCACTTTATTAACTTTCAAAAACAGTTCACACACATATAGTCTATTTTAACACATTCTAAATCATCATTGCACTAACTGTTTCACGCTTTGCACACTATACATTTACCATGACCAGACAAAAACACAACATCATCCAGACTTCTAAAATCCAAAATGCACTTTATGTAATTTGAATTGCATGTTACTACCTTG